ACACGCGCAAAGCCCGCCAGGCCGTCATTGAGCCACTTCCTCCAGTAAGCCTTGGCAGCTGCTGCTCGACTGGCAACCTTGGCGCCAAGGTCATCAGCTAGCTCGAAAATCTCTTGCCAGCCGTCCAGAGGGAAATCGCGCCGCCTAGCAAGACGGGCTGGCCACAAGCCAAGCTCATCACACTCTTCTTTGTCGTCTTCGTTGAGGGGCGGGGGAAGACGAAGCGCAGCAATATTTCGCACCGGTTCCTGGAAATGCCGAACCGAACAGGGCCGAGGCGTGGGAAAGCTGGCTTCGCCCCCTGACTGAAGGGGCCCTGGGACACACAAATGAATACACAAAAATAAAAGGATTCCCCATATTTTCTCATATTCTCTCGGTTTTTGTCTTCCCCACCACTTCCCATGTTTTCCCAGATTTTCTGGGGAATGGAAGATTGCTTGTGTCTGCGTGTTTCTTTCCCTCCTGACTGACATCAAACCTTCAGACAAGCAGAAAGCTGGACCGCAAGGCTCTGCCAGAACCTAGCCTGGCGATTCACTATACTGGGTGCACCAACCTGCTTAGGAACAATCGGGCACTCCTTGATATGCAAGTGCTGGCCTCTACCTACAATGTACCTGGCATCTATCTCCTGCCGGCGGCAGGCTGCGAGCTCCGCTGCCATAATCCAAATGCTAAAACGCTCGTGCGTCGCCTGCGCCAAAGGAGGACGATCCTGCCCAAGAGCATACAGGGTGGACACGCTGAGATTACCCTGAAAACGCTGCGGCTTGGAATGCTTCAGGAAACGAGCCTGAGCCTGGAACCGCAGCCACGGCAGGGCAGGGCCCTGGACCTTGGGATGATGGAGAGCGGCAGCTGCTTTGAAACGCATCACTGACAGGGCCCTGGGGGCAGCACAAAATCTAAAGGCGAGGCCAACATGGGTGCCCCAGGGAACCAACCGAATCATTCAGTCCCTGGAAGAGCACTGCCGATTTAAAGTGATCAATCACCCGCATATAACCAATGAGGCTAGTCCGGTCAGCAACCTCACAAGTATAGGAAACGCCAGGCATGTCCACCAGCCGTAGCTTGAGGCGACTTGAGGAAACTACCAAGTCGCGAGCTTCAAATGGCATGTTCCAGTCCCCACATAACATAATTGGGCCCCAAGCAACAGAGAGCACCGCACCGAGGTCACTCGAAGGCCTCAGGTACAGGGAGGCGGGGAGAGGATCTTCGGGGGGGCGGAGCTCCAGGAGGGAAAGGGGAATTAGCATCCGTGGGGCAGAGGAGAAGCGGGATGATGCGGGAGCTTGGGGCGAAGGGGGTCCCAAAGAATGGGGGGGGAGGAGTTTCCAAGGGGCGGGAGGAGGAAAGAGGGGAGGGGGTGGGGTGGGATCTGGGGGGGTAAGGAGCAAAGAGGCTCTCAATATCTGTTTCTCTCTCTCTCTCTCAATCTCTCTCTCTCTCTCTCTCTCCTTCCCTTATGTGAAGATGCGAGGTAAGCACGCAATGCCCTTGGACATCCATACTGAAATGATTGCAGCGGTGTCAGACCAGAGACCCCAGGACACAAGGCCGAAGAGGACACGGAAGCAAGGGCAGCCTTGATGAACTACTGTATCCTTGCTACTGATCTTGACGGTGTCGCGATCGGGCCCGTCGCGGCCTCTTCTTTCTCTGCCGCACCGCGCACGGCTGCCTCCCGGGCGGAGGTTGCTGCAGCTGGAACCCGAGTGAAACAAAACTCGCGTCGTGCCCAGGGCACACTACATCTGCACAAACACACTGCGCTACAAGCTTCGCAGGACCAACATCTCTGAACATCGGCTGGACTTCATTTTGTGATGGTGCGAAGATTGAATATTGCCATGTTCGTGCCGTCTGGGCTCGTATTTGATCGTATATCATGTCGGAGCTGTCAGTCTACTGTCAACAATAATTGGCAATTTGGATAACCACAAATGAAACACGGCACGACCTCAACATCAAGCCATGTCTTATGAACACGCACCAAACAATAGTAAGTGGGGCCAGTGCTCGCCGCCATGTTACCTCCTGGGCCCGCCTCAAACGCGACACGATCACACTAATGCATGCAGCGCTCAACTTTCGATCACGTGCGGACGGAAATGTAGGCAGGCTTCTGCGATCATGACGACTCCCATGAAAGTATCTCCATGATGCAGCCCTAGAAAAGGCGAGCGCGAGCCGTGGCCATCTCGGGATCGAATGTGGACGACCCCTGGTCCGCGAGCCAAGCGCAGTACTAAAGAGTTGCGGGCCGCTCCTACATGCCAGCGCCAGAGAGAATGACAAACACGTCTGTGCGACTTCTCGCTTGTACTCGCTCGCGTGCCACCCAGCGTGTATGCCCACATTGGTTCTCGACAGCCGCCCTCGTGATCCACGAACGCAACCGGTCCCCTTTCAGGGCATCTGCTCTTCAGAAGGGCAGACAGGCGGGTCGGGCGGGCAGGCCCTCACGAGCGGGTCGGGCGGGCGGACCCCGGCGGGCGGGTCAGGCTGGCGCGGCACTCGAGGGGCCCAGAGGGCTTCCGCGCGCGCGCGAGCGGGCGGGCGGCACCTAGCCGGGCGGAGCGCGCGGGTGGACCTCAGAGGACGGGTTGGGCGGGCGGCGAGAAGGCCCCAGGCGAGAGCGCGACGCCTGGGCATCGAGAGCGCAGTCCTCTCACACACACACTGTGGGTGCAGCACGGCCGAGAGCGCAAGCCGTGAGCAGGTTGCGAGGGGATCTCAAGAGAGAGAAAGAGAGCGAAAGAGAAAGAGAGAGAGAGAGAGAGGAAAAGAGAGAGAGAGAGAGAGAGAACGCGCGCGACTCTCGAGTGGGTTGCCACGAGGTCTCAAGCGAAAGTGTAGACGGAAGTGTGATTCTGCTGAAACGAACGAGGAAGTCCCAGGCGAGAGCGCGACCCTTGAGTACATTCCAAGAGACTGTCGAGCGAGAGCCCGATCCCTCAGTAAGTTGCAAAACAGTTTCAGGCGGGAGCTGGTGTTGTTGCAGTCGGGAAGCAACACATCATCTTGACCAAGAAAATCGCGCCTGACAGAGAACAGGGTGCGAACATCGAGGGGCGTACGTATTTGAAACAGCAGTGGGCATGAGACTGGGGGGGACCAACAACACTTATCATCCAGAAAGGACAATTCAACACTGATGTTGGTGCGGCTTGCTTTTGCTTGCTCGCGTGTCATGCAACCTGTCTGCCCAAAGCCCTTGAATCTCGGCCTCTCCGTCTAATTATGACTGTGGCTGCGCCCCCTCTGGAGGCATCTTCCTCTCAGGCAAACTGCCCAATACCATAAGAATGGGGGGTCGGGCGGGAATTTGAGAAAGCCAACTATCATGTTGGGAGGAGAAGGTTGGGAGAATGCAGGGTCTGAGTAAAAGCATCCGATTGCAATTGACGATACCTTCGGCCGCCAGCGTCTAACGAAGGGGAAACGTGTTGTCACCGCAGAGCATGGGCCGCCAATCCAACACCGCGCAAGCTTCCTAAGAAGCGGGTTGCAACCTGCAGCCTACTTCGCGGCCCTCCTTGGGCCATCTTGGACCCCTTGTGAACTTCCCAAGACGCAGGTTGCACCCTGCAGCATACTTCGTGGCCCCCTCGGGGCCCTCTTGGAACTCTGCCGAAGCTTTCGGTGGGGCCGTCCAAGAGCCCTCTTGTGTGTGTGCTCTGGGCACTCTCAGAGCCATCATGGACCATCTCTGGTGTGGCAACTGCCCAGTGAATAATGAATTCTGCATCGGGCTCCGTATTGCGATCCGTTGCCGAATTCATAAGCGAATTCTTCATCGTGCTCATGCAAATTTTGGGAAGTCGCGGGGCCGCAACAAGTTCCGTATTGCGTTCCGTTCCTGACACGGAAATAATAATGGATTCCGTTTTGCGTCCCGTTCGCGATGCGGAATCTACGTTGGTCCGCTTCCGTCCCGCACGGGTTGCGCCATGACTTGTGTATGAGTCGTTGGCACCGGCGGTGCAGCATCTGTGCCGATCCGACCCAAAAGTAATTCCAAACTGTAGAGGTCCAGCCAGTGACGCGCCGAGCAGGGTTCTTCAGGAGGAGCAGCTGACGATGAAGGATCGACGCATGAATGCGATGAGTGTGAACGTCGTTCCCAGCGATATGAAAGCGAAGAACCAACCCAAATTCATGCAAAAGTGCCAGCGCAATCGGCTGGCAATTCAAACTGCAGCGGGGTTGGAGGATGCGACGGCCAATGCGCGTGAACGTGCCAGTCAAATAAATACCTCCAACATGCGCGATAATACAAATGATATGATCGATTGTACCAACCCCCTCCTTCCAACCCGCGAACTGTCCTTCTGAAAATTCGGCCCAAATAAATTCTTATTGGTCCCGGGGCCCGGAAAAAAATCCGAGGGCCGAAATCAAGGAAAAGACGCCAGCTTTAAACATCATATCGTATGAGATCTGGTCTGTTGGCATGGACCACGCGGGTCCTGAGGGAAACGAGCCCTAAACCCCAGGGCCTTCCCGCTCAGGTCCAGCTTTTCGTCTCGAGTCGTTCTCTTACAGTCCCGGGGCCCGTGGAGGGCCCCCAGTTTGCGAACCACCGACCAGAATCAAAAGCCCAGGACACATTTAACTCGGGATCTGCTTGTTTCAGGGCAGTGGGTCTCCAGAGCTGAGGCGTCGCCGGCAGCGCGGCGGCGGGGATCGGGGACGTCCACGCGGGGGGCGCGCAAGAGGGAGGTTCGCATATTATGGCCCTAGGCGCGCGCGCGGCACTGGGGGGCCACGGGACGGATGGAAGCAACAGGCGGGGGCCAGAATCTCCGTGGAGATCTCGGGGGGGCCTCGGCCATGGAATGGAATCCCCCCCCCCCCTCGCGATTCCCCCCCCCCCCCCCCCCGATTCCCACCCCCCCTCTCGGCCGCACCCGACAGAGCAGCACGGCGGCGGAGGGGTGCCGCTGCCTCTCGCGGGGGCCGCCCCTCGTGAGGCCCCTGGCGCGGCCTCAGCCCGGCGCGGGACCGCTCTCGCCCCCGCCGGCGCGGGCCCCGCGGCCGCTCCGCGGCCGCAGGGCGTAGATCCGGCTCAGCCCTCGGTCGGCGGGGCCGGGCGGGGGAGGGGCGATGCACCGTTCAACAAGGATGATGACCCTGGCTCCTGATCCGCCGTACTTTGGATGATTTTCCGACCTAAAATTGCGTCGGAAGTCGACGCCAAAGGAGCCTCCAGGGCGGAAATCGACGCTCAAAGGGGCCTCAAAAGTAGGGCGGAAATTTCCGCCCTACTTTCGAAATCGCCCAAAGTAGGGCGGATCAGGAGTCAGGGATGTCGAGGCCCAGTAAAAACGACCGGCGTGCTGACGCCCCCCCCCCTGCGCGACAAGGGGTGCGTCGCGCATTCGTCGCCCATGCGCCGCCCGTGCGTCGGCCGCCGAAAAGGCCGGCCGTCCTCGCGAGCGTGCACGTCGCCCTCGCAAGGGGGCAAGGATGCGCGTTGAGGACGCAGGGGCCCTGGACGGTCATGCCGACACTTTGCGAACGTAGCGCGGCCAGCGAGAGCGGCCAAGGATGGGCCGGAGGAGAAGGATGCAAGGAGGGAGCAACCTTGGGAAAATGCCCCATCCTGGCTGAACGGGCTGACTGTAGGAGGCGGAGGGCTGATTGTTTCCTGGCCGCGAAGGTGCCGTCGGTCGGCGGGGCCGCGTCCGTCGCGTGGCAGAACGAGGCGGAATGATCAGTCAGGGCTGAACCTAAACGGTGCTTTTCGTTTTCGTTTTGTTTCCGCTTTCCCTCGTTTTGTCTCCAATCCGCCTTCACCGCAAAACGGAGTTGGAACGAAAACGGCACACGAAATCGCCAAAACACCGTTCAGGCCCAGCCTTTGGGATCCGTGGCCTGTTTTTCTCTCCCAATCTCTCCCTCACAGCCACTTCCCGCGGCAAGCTGGGACGCCGCGCCCCGACCAACAAGGCGGGACAGGCACGACGCCTCCTGGCGCGGGGCGTGCCCGCCCGCGGGGTTCACGCCCTCACGGCTCGCGCGGGGCTTCGGAGAGGTGGGGGGACGCGCGAGGCGTGCCAGGTGCGCAGCTCCGAGGAGGCTCGAGATTGGGCGAGCGAGCGGAAACCAGAGGGCCAGGGCGCGTAGGGGGGTGAGGGAAAAGGGCGTGGCAAGGGGGGGGGGGCGGCGGGGCAGCGTGGGGGGAGGGTCGGGAGAGAGAAAGAGGGGGAGAGAGAGAGAGAGGGACAAGACAGGGAGAAAGAGAGAGGGAAAGCGAGAGGCAAGAGAAGTGATACACGCATACGCACATGATCAAATATCTGTCGGCGGTGCTCGGTGCGGAGCGACCCCCCCCGATGCACGACCCCTCCCAGGACGCATAGCGGGCACCGCTGGCGCGGGCCAGTGCGAATCCCCCCGGGGATGCACGGAACCCCCCTGGACGCACCGCTGGTGCGGCCTGGAACGGAACCCGATGCCGCAGGGTGCGAGCGTCTGGGAACGTGCGAGCCTCGAGGGAGCGCGTGCGAGCGTTCTGGGTGTCTGGGAGCGCTGGGGGGTGACGAGGACGACAAGAACGACGAGGACGACGAGGACGAGGACGACCACGACGACGTCCAGAGATCCCGAGGCCCCTGTGTCCAGAAGCTACCAGAAGTCTCCCAGGGACTCCCCCCCACTCCTCAAGATGCCTCTCCCCATTGCGCTCCTCCGCGCTGCCAAACTCCTCCGCTCCCAAAGGAGCCCCTCCCCTGCTGCAACAGGAGCCGCCCCCCTGCGCTCCCGCAGGAGCCCCCCGCCGCATGACCGCAGGAAGGGGGGTCCGCCGGTGCGCCTGGCGAGCCCCCCCAGGAACAGGGGAGAGGGGGGGGTCTGGGTCGTCGGCGGTGCCCGGCGCGCCCGGCACGACCCCTTGGGAAGCCCAGGAAGGGGGGGGGGATCGTGCCGCGGGTCATCGCCGACACACTCGCACACGCAACGCAACGCAACGCAACGCAACGCAACACAACACAACGCAACGCAACGCAACGAAAAGCAACGCAACGCAACGCAACGAAAAGCAACGCAACGCAACGCAACGCAACACAACACAGCACAGCACAACACAACACAACACAACAAAACACACCGCACCACAACACAACACAACACACACACCACACACAACACACACACATAACACATACATCATACGTGTAAGTGTGTATATATATATATATATATATATATATATGTATACTAGAACCACCCACGATCGGATGAGGATAGACAACATTCCGCAGGGGACACCATATGGGAGCGGACTTCCTGGTGGATGCTTCAGGAGGCGCTGCATCAGGCTCCAGGAAGTCGCGCAACGCATCCAAGAGGAGGACCCAAGGCAGCCTAAGGGGGGGTGCCCAAGAACCCCTCAGAACCTGGCAAAACCATGTTGGGAGTCTTTGTGTCGATGCCTTTGTGGGGACGTTCTTCGAAGGCTGTTGGGCGTGTGTGGGGGATGGGGCATCTCCGGTTTTTGTTGGGGGTCGCACGTTGCCCTCTTAGGATTTTTGGGGGCCTCCCAGAGGCTCTTGGCATCTGGGCTTGAAATGTCGGTTTGGATCCCCGCCATTGCCCCTTTCTGGGGGCCGTCCTGAGGGCATCTTGGGCCGTTGCAGCGGCATCTTAAGCCGTCTTGGTGCCCTCTGGGGTCGCATTCGGGCCGTCACGGGGAACTCTTGGGCTGCCTTGGTGCTGTTTGGGGGATCCCTTGGGCCGTCTTGGAGCCCTGGAAAGACGAACAAACATGGGGGGAGGCGGATAGAGGGGGGAAAATTATGCAACGGGGGCGTGTCATGAATGTCATAGATCCAAGAAGTGAACGGCGAGCGAGGCTCAACCGTCACCCTCGGCCTCCCAGACAGGAGGAAGGGACCCGCAGGCGCCAGCACCGACGGTCAGGGAAAAGGCAGATACCTCGTCGCTCAGCGACTCGCTGCCCAACCGAGACGGCGTTGTGCGTAGGGGGACAGCCGGTTCACCGCGTCGCCGCGCAGTACTTCCCGACCGTCACCCCTGCCGAATCGGATGGCATGTGCAACTGGGTTTGTACCCCAGGGTGAGCGGACACAAGGTCCCACGGGAATTACGGACCACATGGCCCCGCCTCTCAACCAAATGCACACTCCCCGTGCCTGGTACCCATCTCCAGTCCACGGGCGCAGCTAGCGCGCCGCTGCCACGGGCAAAGTGCCACGCGGCTGGTGCAAGAACGACGAAAGCCGGTTTATCTGCCCCCAGCCACCGCATGCAATTGACACTGACAGTGTGTCCTGACAGTGTGCCCCGAGGAGTGTGTGGCGGGAGGAGAGGGAGGTGGAACGGGAGACAGAGGAGAGCCAAAACCAATAGAAAAATCAATGAGAACGGACAGCGATGGATGAGGGAAACGGGAACGCACTCGGAGGCAATTTAAAAAGCCTGGGAAAAGAGGGATCGGCGGGGGGGGGGTCGACCTTGGGAAAATGGGTTCGAAGGAATTCCATTTGTTTTCAAGCTGGGACTCCTACTACTTAGTGGGGCAGGGTGCTGGATGAGGGCGGCGTAGGGAGGACAGATTTAAGGAGAGATGCGGATGAGGGAAGGGGAGACGGAAGCGCATGAGTGAGGGTGAGGCCGAGAGAGGAAGTCGTGATGGAGAGCCGAAGAGGAGGGAGGGAAAATGGCGCAGCGGGGAGGAGGGAGGACGAGAGGAAGGAGAAAGATGTGGAACGGGAGACGGAGGAGAACTAACATCAGGGAGGAGAACAACGAGAACTGACAACAAGGAATGGGGAAAACGGAAACGCACTCTGGGCCACGCCAAACCCTGGGACAGGAGGGAACGGAGAGGCAGATCGACCTTGGAAAACACGGATTTGAGGGAAGTGTAATTTGTTGTGTGTGTGTGTGTGTTTTTCTGTAATGGTCTGGAGGCCCCCAAGGGCACCCAAGATCGCCGCAAGAGGCCTCCAAGAGTCCCCCCCAAGAGCTCTGGAGAAGCCCTCGGGAGGCCAAAACATTGAAACACCAGGCGCGAAGGAGACACGAGGAGGAAGGAAGAGGGACAAGGACGCAGCGGGGAGTAAGAATGGGTGAGAGGAGCGGCCGGGAGACGCAGGAGAACCAATAGCAAACGAGAGATCAAGGAGGACGAACAGCGAGGGGTGGGGGAGACAGAGACGCACGAGGGAGGCGGCGAGATGAAGGCGTGAAGGCGAGACAAGGAAGAGTGAGGGAACATACGGCAGCGGGGGGGTGGAGGAGAGAAGTGAGAAGGATATGGAACGGGAGACGGAGGAGAACCACAAACAATCAATACTGATCGAAGAGAGTGGACAGCGAGGGATGGGGAGCCTCGGCGACGTCGTATATGAGGGTCTCTTGGGATGTCCTCTTGGGGGCTTCTGGGGAGTGCTCGTGGTGCCTCTTTAGGGCCTCGTGGGGGCTTTTGGGTGCCTCTTTAGGGCCTCTTGGGGGAGCCTTGGATGCCTCTGGGGCGCTCAGGGGGGCATCTTGGTTGGGTCCGTCCCCTGGCAATTTGCTTCTCGATCGGTCCCCTGGGAACCCCAGGGGGGGCTCTCTTCGGGCGTTTCCAGGACCTCTTGGGCCATGATGGGGGCACCTTGAGCTGGAAGACGGCCCACGATCGCGTCAGGATGGCCGTTCCTCGCCTCTCCTCTCTGGAAGCGTCGGGATCGCCATGAATGCCTCAGGGCGTCTGGGAAGGGGACTCTTGGGGGCCTCATGGGTGCCTCTTTGGTGCTTCCTGGGGCCCTATTCGGAGCCTCTTGGGGCATCTTAGGGGCTTTTGGGGGGGCCCCTGGGGCCTCCTGGAGGCGTCTTGGGGCCCAAGGCTTGACATATCCGTTCGGGTACCCCATGTCGGCCCCCCCTCTTGGGGTAGTCCTGAGGCCTTCATGGGGCCTCTTGGGCCTTCTTGGTCTTGGGGCCGAAAGCTTGACATATCCATTCGGGTACCCCCTCTGGGCCCCCTCTTGGGGCCGTCCCGGGACCTTCACGGGCTGTCTTGGGGGCCTCTTGGGCCTTCTTGGGGCTCTCTGGGGCCGTCTGCGAGCCCTGTAGGGAGCCTCTTGGGCTTTCTTGGGGCGACCTTGGAGGCCTCGCGGGCCGTTTTGGACGCTCTCGAAAAGCTCCAAGGCATACTTTTCCAAAAATATGCACGTCATTCATTTCTAGTCGCGCTCATTTCTAATCGTGCTCGTTTCTAATTTTTCCTGGCCTCACAGTGGCCAGTGGCCCTCTCGGGGCTCCATGGGGACTCTCTTGGGCCGTCTTGCAGCTCTCTTGTGCTGCTTGAAGCTCGCTTGAGGCCGTCTTGGGGCTTTTTGGGCCGACTTAGGCAGATTCTGAAGGCCTTTGGGGCCGTCGTGGCTGCTGTTAAGATTGAAAGATCGAATGTTCAGACAATCCGCCGCCAGCCCCCTTGCGGGGCCACCAGGCTGTAGGCCGAAGCTTGCTGCTGCCCGCGCCAGTTCCATGTTCCAGCTTCCTACGTGATAGCTCCACTTTCTGCTTCCTGCTGTACATTGTTGAAGTCCGCGCGAGGAGGGGGGGGGGCGAAAACCGCCCGGGCACCACGCCCGAATCGCGTTGTCTCAATACCTGGGACACGTGAGAATACATGAGATTCGCGTCCGCGAGGCCATAGCCCATCGTGAATTACGCAAGAGTCGCGTCCCTGAGGCCCTAATCTCTCGCAGAGGCTCTCAAGACGGTCGAGGGGGCCTCCACGACGGCCCCAAAGCGCTCCAAGACGCCCAAGATGGACCCACGACCCACGACAGCCCAAGAGGCTCCCAAGAGGCCCCAAAAGCGCTCCAAGAGGCGGGCCTCCCGAGGGAGCCCAAAGACAACGGTTTTGCCGGATTCTGGCCCTCTCGGAATTTCGGCTTTCCGACGCTCCAAGACGGCTCAAGGAACTCCAGAGACCGGGCCAAGGACAGCCCAAGAGGCCTCCAAGAGGGCCCCAAGATGGCCCAAGAAGCGCCCAAGACGGCTCCTCCTTCTCCCCCGACAGCTCTCCCTCCTCTTTCCCCTCGTCTTCTCTTCCTCCTTCCTCCTCTCCTCATTCTCTTTCCTCTGATTCCTTCCCCCCCCCCCCCCCACCCCCCACCCCACCCCCGTGCCCTCCCTCGTTTCCCCCCCCTCTCTCCCAAAGCTTGCGACCGTCCTCTTTTCCATGTTCCTCTCCCCCCTGCCCTCCTTGTCCAGCTCCTCTTGGCGGTGCGCACCAAGGGAGTGGGGGGAGGGGGAGGGCTTCTCAGCAGGAGGCTGCTTCTTCGACGGCGCTGGCCGCCGGCCTCACATCTACCGATGAGGCCCGCGCCTTCTAAGAAGCAGGGGTGCTTCTAAGAAGCCCTCCCCCCTCCCCCCCACCCCCCTCTGGGCGTGGCCAATCCCCCTCCCTCGGTCCCTCCCTCCCTCTCGAGCTCGCGGCAGGGCGCCTTCCCGCGCCGACCTCAGCTTGGACGCCAAGAGGGACCCGCGCAGAGCTTCCGCCAGGCTGACGCGCCGAGGGGCGGTGGCCTCCTCCTCCTCCTCCTCCTCCTCCTCCTCCCCTTCCTCCTCCTCCTCCTCCTCCCCTTCCTCCTCCTCTTCCCCCCCCTCCTCCTCCTCCTCCTCCTCCTCCTCCTCCTCCTCTTCCTCCTCCTCCTTCTCCTCCTCCTCCTCCTCCTCCTCGTACTTCTGCTGTTGCCGCTGCTCGTCCAAATCGTCTGCCTCGTCCTCACCCTCGCCCTCGCCCTCCTTTTCCCTCCTTATCCTGTTCCTTTCTCACCGTTATCGTCATCCTCCTTGTCCTTCCCCCGCTCCTGTTCGTCGCCCTTCACTTCATCTCCTCGTCGTGCACATCCTCGAACCCTCCTCCTCTTGCTGACGTCTCCTATTACTCCTGCTTCTCCTCCCCATCCGCCTCCTGCTCCTGCTCCCGGTCCTCCTCCTCCTCCTCCTCCTCCTCCTCCTCCTCCTCCTCCTCCTCCTCCCACTCCTCCTCCTCCCCCTCCTCCTCCTCCTCCTCCTGCTCCCCGTGCCGAAGATCCCCCCAGCCTGCCTGGTACTCGAGGCGGTCGGGGACTCACGGGGCGGCCGTTGAGGGCCCAGTCTGGGCTCGACGAGCCCGGGGCGGCAGGGCCTAACTCGGCAGGCGCCCGCACGAGCGGCGTTCGCCAGGACTGCTGCACCACTGGCGTCCGCCAGGATCAAGGTCCCTCAGCGGGGGACGGGACGCCTGGCAGAAGGAGGCACTGCAGGACTGGCTCCTCCTCCTCCTCCCTCCTCCCTCCTCCCCCCTCCTCGCTTGGCCGCTCCTCCGCCCAACCCCCAGCTGGCCCGCTCCACTGCTTTCTCATGCCCCCTCTCTAAGATCTTGGGAATTCTGCCATGACGGTGGGCTAAGGCTATGCACAGCACTCCCAACTAGCTCGCGGTCCGTTGCTTCGGCCAGCCCGATTCAACATTCACGGCGAGATTCCTGGCACCCGCAGCGCTGCACCGGTTTAGGCTAAGGCTGGCATTACTGGAACTTTGCCAGGGCTACGGGCTAAGCCTATGCGCCACATACCCAGACAGCCTGCGGCCCGTTTTTGTCGGCCAGACCGACTCAACAAACATGGCTGGAGCTCCGGGATTACAGGCCGCGCGCTGTTAGGCAATATCCCGGGAATTCTGCTCAACATTACAGCCGGATTCTTGGCGTCCGCAGCGCCGCACCTGGTTCGGCTAGGTCGCTGTGCCCACCTCCACTCCAATCTTCCTGTTCGTCCCCAGGTGGGGACCTTGCCCGGCTCGTCCTCATTTGAGGCTGCATCTGCGCGCCCGCAGGCGAGGAGGCTCGCAAGCGCGGGCTCCCGCACAGAGCGCATACTAGGCGAACAATCCCAATCCATTGGATATCACCTTCGGAAGCATGCATGCAGTAGCATCCGTGATCACATGTCGCGTTGTTTTCCCCTTTTCCCTTTTCCGCCCTCGTGCTATCGAAGGGTGGGCAGGACTTGTCCGCAGTCGGGCGGGGCGGCAGTGGCAGGGGAGTAGAGAAGAGTGGCATGTTATTATGGGCGTTCTCCTCCCATTCAGCGCGCCGCTTCAGCTCCAGCAAGAGTTGGAAGCCCCCGGTGGGCCAGGCCACCTCCTCTTCCTCCGCTTCGTCCTCCGCCGCACCCCCCCAGAGGGGATAGGCTGCCCGCGGCCGCGGGCGCGGCCTTCAGCTGAAACGCACGCTTCGTTTCACCGCGGTTCAGCTCCATTCGCTTGCTCCTCTTATAGCTCTCTTTGGCAACATGTGCCGGGGCGTGGCAGAGCCATCCCAATCCTCCCCCCTCCTGCCACGCCGACCTCCCCACCCCTCCCCAGCCAGGGGCCGCCCTCCACCGCGTTCCTCCACCCACTTCTTGCATCGCTGACCTCGGTCACCGCAGTAGGCACAACACATGCCAGGCTATCAACCCCGCGAAATGGGACAACAGCTGCGGCAACATGCAATAACATCCGTGATCTCATGTCGCGCTGTTTCCCTTTCCCTTTCCGCCTCGTGCTCTCAAGGGGGGAAGGCTTTGTCCGCCCTGTCGGGCGGGGCAGCAGCAGGGGAGCGGCGTGCATCGCGCGCCGCGCGTTTTGGGACAACACAGAGCGAAGCGGTGTGGTGGTCACAGTTTCCGTGCCGAGCAAGCTTCCGACCCCAGCATGCCAATCTTATCTCGTTCCAGCCAGCGTATTGCACCGCGCACCTGTAGGTTGCCGCCCTCTAGGAAGCTGGCTTGGGGGTTGCAAGCCCGGATTGGCCCCCACCTAGTAGATCTCACAACAGGCTGCGAGTTGGGAGCTCCCCAAGCAAAGTTTGTCCTCCATTAGCAATCCCTCGGCTTTTTCCGGTTCCACCGAGGAACTGTTAAGTGCGGCCCGATCGCACACGTGGAAGAAAGGTCAAGGGTCAGTGGTCATCCTCCTCCTTCCCCATCCTTATCCTGTTTTTGCTGCTGCTCCTCCTCCTCCTCCTCCTCCTCCTCCTCCTCCTCCTCCTCCTCTTCCTCCTCCTCCTCCTCCTCCTCCACGCCCTCCGTCCTGTGCATCTGAGCAGCTGTTGCCCGTGCGGCGGCAAGCGCTGTGGGCTTGAAGAAGTGCACAAGAGCGTCATTGCTGCGCATCGTGTGCAGGTGACAGACCCAGGACAACCGAAGAGCATCATAGACCATGAGCAGACGGCCAACACGGTCGACAATAACAAGGTCGAACTCCATCTTGCTGAGCACGCTTCCGTGGAGCCTGTGGGTTAAGGGCATCTTGCGCGATGCTCGTCTATCTGGTGCCCACTGGTGGCCTGAATAAGGGCATCCAGCGTTTGCTCGATCAGCTGGGAGCGAGTGTAGCCGACGAGGGACGGGTCCTGGAAGGTGAAGCGAGCCGCGTGCTGCGCCAACCGATCCCGGGATCTTCTTGCTGTGCGCCGTGCCCCTTGTCGACTTCTACGGCATGCGCGTTGCCTCGGAGGCGTGCAGCACGGGCGCGCTGCTCTCCATGATCTGGGCCTGGCCTCGGTCCCCTCTCTGCAGCCGCCCTCCTCTCGCCCTTCCTCCCTGGTGCAGATTTGCCGGCAGCCCATGCAAGCCTGCCCGCGCAAGACGAGCGCCCGCGCTGCGACGCACGTCGTTCGAATGGTGCGCATGCGAGGGGGCCGTCGGGGCCTCCCGTTCATTCGGCGAGGAAAGGGCAGCTGGCGCTGCCGCCGGGTGCGCAGCGCGAGCAGAGTTCTGCTCAGGACCCGAGTCGATGCCGCGAGCCATGCCGCGGGAAGCTTGCAGCTGCCTCCAGGCAGTCGGTAATCGTGGCCGCCTTCTCCTCCTCCTCCTCCTCCTCCTCCTCCTCCTCCTCCTCCTCGTCCTCCTCCTCCTCCTCCTCCTCCTCCTCCTCCTCATCATCGCATGGAGCTGCCTGCTGCCGCTGCGCCTCCCCTCCTCCTCCTCCTCCTCCTCCTCCTCCTCCTCCTCCTCCTCCTCCTCCTCCTCCTCCCTCCCCCTCCCTCCCTCCCTCCCCTCCCTCCCTCCCTCCCTCCCTCCCTCCTCCCTCCCTCCCTCCTCCTCCTCCCTCCCCTCTCCCACCTCCTCCTCCTCCTCCTCCTTCTCTTGCCTCCTCCTCTTCTCTGCCTCCTCTTCTCCTCCCCTCCTCCTCCCCCTCCTCCTCCTCCTCCTCCTCCTCCTCCTCCTCCTCCTCCTCCTCCTCCTCCTCCTCCTCCTCCTCCCCCTCCCCCTCCTCGTCGCGTCAGCTCCTCCAGGGAACCGGCGGGCAGGGAGGCGGAGTACAGGAGCGGTCCCTATGGATCCTTCAGCGCTCCCGATGGAGCCCTCGGGCATGCCTTCTCGACGTCGGCGCTGTCCGCGAATGCGATAGCGGGGAACGCGAGGGTTTGGGGCCCCTCAGGGGCACCAGCTCTGGCCGAAACTCCCGAGACACCGATCGCAGCATCCTCATCTGATTTCAGCCGATCGAAGTCTTGGCCAGCGCCCCAATCCTGTACGCACAACGATTCGGAGGAGGGCGTCTTGACCAGCACCCTTTCACACGACGTTCGAAAGTAACTCGCATGCATTTCTGTGAGCCCGCTGAGGGCCCCTGAAAAGAAATGGCGGTCAGCAGCTCTTGCGCAGCGTGTCGCGGCGGCAGCCCCTGCGCCGCGCCAGGCCCTGCGAGCTGATAGCGTGCCGCCAGGCTTCGTGGGAGGGGAAGCTGGGAAAAGCTCGGGGCGTTTCACGCTTAGGGACTGGGAGCTGGCCAGCGTGTCGCACCGGGACGTGGTGGGCCAGAACTGGCGGCGCGACACACTGAACGAGCGTTCCTGATCGAGTACGAGTGTGTGACTCTAGTTCATAGTTTGCTTCCGAAGCTGTATTTGGCACTGCTTATTCGAGACTGTTACGCTTCATTGCGCATTGACGTGTCAGGTTACCTGCGTTACACGCGTTCCAACACCTACGAAAATTGCATAAAAAAAGATATCATGTGTTAAAAACACCTCGATGCACCTCGTGGTGTCGCGAGGCGACGCCGAGCTGCAGAGGCGAAATTGGGGTCCTCACGTTGAGAGGCAAGGCGGAAGCACAGGCAGGATGACAGGATGCGGAGGTCGCGCCAGCTCCCGAGACGTCGTGAGCAGGCGCGCACAGCACAAACAGAAGACGCTCCGCGACCTACTCTAAATCACCGTCGCTCTCGCCCGCGGAGCTCTCCCCGTGGTCGCGGCCGGCGGGGCACGTGCGGTCTCTCTGGCCCCGTGAGAGCGCGTGCCCAGTGGCGCTCAGGCCGCACGCCTGCAGCCGGTCGCGGGAGAGGCCGTAGCCCTTCGTGTTGAGCCGGGTGCGTGCCGCCTCCTCGTCGTCCTCGCGCAGCGCCTCGATCTCTTCTTGAGGACTGCCGGAAAGTTCGCCGCTGTCGTGCGAGCAAATCGAATTCGTGCTCAGGCTTCGCTTCAATATCCCTGAGACGGGAGACCCAGGATCCCTAGTGCTGGTCTGCTGCGGCTCCCAGTCACAATCGTCTATCTTGTCCTGCTCGTAATACGTAGAGGCCAAATAGTGGGCGTACTCCCTGTCTTTGCCAGACACGGCCATGGCTGCCCGGGCAATCGCCTCAGCAGCCATGTCGGAGGTTTCACCCTCCTCGCGCTGGCGACTCTGCTCACGCAGCACGGCGGCTATATAGTCGTCTCGATTTCTTGCACGCTGTTTCTTGCGCCCGAGGCCTAGACCACGACGAGACTCGTCCTTGAGCTCTGGGAAGAGCTTCACCATGGCCTGGTACGCCTCTGCGCCTTTGGCGCCCACGCTGCTCACTTCGAGGATGTTCACGCCCATGTTCCTCGAGGCAGCGCGGTAGGCCCTGCCAATCTCCAATCGCACCTGCAAGAATTCTGCGCAGTCGCTTTCCGTCCACCACAGCTCGGCCTTGCTGTCTGGGCTGAGCCTCGTCATGTCCTTGCCGAGCTTTTGAGACACCTCCTTCTTAAACCTGACGTGCCTACAAGACTCAGAAGCCCCCCTCGAGACGATGCTGGAAGAAGTTGACGGGTAATCTCTCCGGAAGTGTTCGAGCTTCTGGCCAGCAGCGGCGCCTGCGATCCCCCTGACGATCTCGGTAGGAGGGTCGGTCATCACGACCGGAAATGTCTTGGTCTGGCCGTACTCGCCCTCCTCATTCAGCAAGATCAGCGTGCCGTACTCACCATCGCCGACGTAGAGCAACATATCCATGCTGATTGCACGAACCTGGCCGTGTGTGGTCAGCTGGTGCTTCAGGGCGCCGCTGCTGTCCAGTTGCCGAAGCACGAAGTGGCCAGGGCGTTCCTCGGCCTCCACCAGATGGAACAGGTCGCCGCTACCCACGTCCGCCCGCTGGAAGCGGCCTCTGGTGCCGTTGCCTGCGGGACGGTTGAAACTGCTGGCGGAGAGGTCCCTCCCGGTCATGCTCCACTGCACGTCGAACGCTTGCTTCGCCGAGGCGCGGACCACCACCTTCGGCTGGTGATGCGGCTGCTGAAGGGCCACAGCTGCTGCCTTTCCGAAATTAGCTGCCCTTCTGCGGCGCTTCTGGCGTTGGCAGCAGGCGAGCGCGCCAGCCAGCAGTGCCAACGTCACGGTCACAGACCAGTAACCCATCGCCGAGCTCGAAGCGCGGCGCTGCAACATGAGCACATGCAGAACGGTCCACACTCCCACCAATACAGCAGCGCTACAGCACCATGGCTGCTTCCAGGCCGGCGCCCTCAGGCAGCCATCGCTGCCCCATGCAGCGATTTGTTGGGACATGGCGTGCGATTGACCATTGTCCACGAGAAGCAGCTGGACTGCAGCTTTGAGCCTATACGGCTGCGGAAGAGGAGGAATTCCAGCCTGCGTTCATCTTGGATTCCCTCGGTCTCTGGTCATCCTCCGCTTACCAATGCTCCAATTAGTACTGGCAAGACCTCGACCGACCATTCGGGACCTGCCATGGGAGACTGGGCTCTGGCCTGGTGGACAAGGTCGACGTTCAGGTGTACGTGCACATTTTCCCCACACGACAGGTTTGATTACTAAATCCCACGAGCCCTCTGGGCGTAAGCGATTTCGCGAGTTTGCTTCATCCCCCCCCCCTCTTCCCCCGTGTGGAGGGGCGTACGCCTCCACAGGACCCCCCCCCCCCCTAGCCCTGGGGTCGGGACAGCTCCGCGAGGGGTTGCAGCGTTCGAGATGGCCCCCGAGGTCCTAAGATAGCATCCAAGGGAGCCCAAGATGGTTCAACATAGCTTCCAACACGTCTCCAAGAGCCACGAGCGCCGCTTCCCTCTCGTCTCGATGGCGCGCTCGGTCGGCACAGGAGGGCCCCGACAGCCCGTAAGGATGCCCCCAAACAGCTCTAAGAGAGCCCAAGGCAGCCCCCCAAAGGCCTCCCTGATGGCTCCGAGAGGCTTCAACATGGTCCGAACAGAACATCCCCAGTGCTCCCATATCGCCCGATCCGTGACTAAAGATGGCTGACTCCTGGGTCTGCTCAGGCTGGTCCCAAGCTTGGGCTTCAAAGGCTGAACTCCTCTTTGTTACACGCTTTGCTCCTACACTGCCCTGATCAAGGCAACTCGCCTGGGCGTTGATTCTGGATGGGCTGGTGGGGACACGCGAAGCGTCAAACATGCAGAATCACATCCGCATATGTCTGTTCCTGTCCATTCGTCAGCCCTGCGAGCCATGGCGGCACAGCACCGAATCCCCGAATATACACCATGACACCCTGATAGAACAATAGAAGGACGACGGTGACAGGACAATGACAGACAGTGACAAACCATGAAAGGACAAAGACCAGATGACAGTCATAGACAGTGACGGCTGGAGGAGGTGACCCTGGGAGGGAGCAGCGGCAAGTTTCTCTCGACGACGTGGACCCTGGCGTCCGACACCACGTGCACCGCTCAGCGTAGAGGCTGTCGACCCCATCCCCCGTACAAGTTTCACGCCGCGGGTTGCTTACCCCCGGGCCCCGGGCCCCGATCCGCGCCTCCAGAAGTGAAGGGCCCCCAGGACACACAAATAAATACACACAAATTATCCCAGTGCGACCCTACCTAGGAGTTGGAACCTCTAGGAAAGCAGCATTAGTAGGAGCGGTAAACGCCGTCCTCATCCTTCTCCTCATCGTCGTAGTTGTAGCAGTAGCGGTAGTAGTGGTAGTAGTAGTAGTAGTAGTAGTAGTAGTAGTAGTAGAAGTAGTAGTAGTAGTAGTAGTAGTAGTAGTAGTAGTAGTAGTAGCAGTAGTAGTAGTAGTAGTAGTTGTTGTTGCTGTTGTTAAATTAGTAGTAGTAGTAGTAGTAGTAGTCGTAGTAGTAGTGTAGTAGTAGTAGTAGTAGTAGTAGTAGTAGTAGTAGTAGTAGTAGTAGTAGTAGTAGTAGTAGTAGTAGTAGTAGTAGTAGTAGTAGTAGTAGTAGTAGTAGTAGTAGTAGTAGTAGTAGTAGTAGTAGTAGTAGTAGTCGTAGTCGTAGTCGTAGTCGTAGTCGTAGTCGTAGTAGTAGTAGTCGTAGTAGTAGTAGTAGTAGTAGTAGTCGTAGTCGTAGTCGTAGTCAGTAGTGGTAGTAGTAGTAGTAGTAGTAGTAGTAGTAGTAGTAGTAGTAGTAGTAGTAGTAGTAGTAGTAGTAGTAGTAGTAGTAGTAGTAGTAGTAGTAGTAGTAGTAGTAGTAGTAGTAGCGCCAGAACCGCCGACGCCACGCCGTAAGTGAAGCAGCAGCAGAAGCAGGCAGCAAGTTGCCGAGACAGCAGCAAAAGCAAGCAGGCACGGAGATGAGGGCGGGGCACTGGGGGTTATTTGCATCTACATCTATATCTACACCTACATCTACATCGACACCTACATCTACATCTAGACCTACATCTACATCTACACCTACAGCTACATCTGCATCTACACCTGCATCTACATCTACATCTACATCAATAGCGAGACTCACATCTACATCTATATTTACACCTACATCTACATCTACACCTACATCCACATCTACACCTACACCTACATCTACATATACATATACACGTTCGCATGCTATGATATGCTATGCTATGATATGATATGCTATGTTATGATATGCTATGCTATGCTATGCTATGATATGCTATGATATTATGCGCTATGCTGTGCTATGCTATGATATGCTATGTATGCTGTGCTGTGCTATGCTATGCTATGCTATGCTTGTGCTTTGCCTTCGCTTTTGCCTTCACTTTTGCCTTTGCTGTTGTTTTTGCTTGGCACCCAGGGAGCGCAACTGGGGGAACCGCGCGTTTGCTTTTACCTTTGCTGTTGCTTTTGCTTGGCTCCCAGGGGACTGGGGGAACCGCCCGGGGCGGTTTGCACTGCCCGGCCCCTTCAAGCCAACAGAGTAAGAACCCTTCTAGGCTGAGTCTAGGTAGGGAATAAACATATTCCACATATTTTCCTATAGTTTCTGGGCTTCTGTCTTCCCCCCCACACTTCCCATATTATCCCATATTTTCGGGGGAATCGAAGATTAATTGTGTCTGTGTGTTTATCTTCCTCCTGAAGAAGCCCTGGGGCTCAGCCGCTCCTCGGCCCGCCGCCCCGCCCGCCCTGGAGCGGCAAGGCAGGGCGGGAGAGGGGAAGAGCACGCAGCCTGCACAAGCCAGGTGGCCGCGGGGAGAAGGAAGAGAGAGAGAGAGAGAGGGAGAAGGGATAGGAGAGGTAGAGGGAGAGAGAAACAGGATAGAAGAGGGGAGATAGGATAGAAGAGAGAGAGGGGAGATAGGACAGGAGAGAGAGAGAGGGAGAAGGATAGGAGAGAGAGGGAGGCACGGCCCCGGGTCCCGAAGCGCGCCCCCAGGAGCCCCTCGACCTCGAACGCCTGCGCCGGCGCCGCCACCGCGCCGGGGCGGCACGGCGCTGCCGCGCGTCTGCGGGGGAAGCCGGAGCCCCGCACGCGGCTGGGCGACCCCCCGCCCGGAGGCCGCGCGCGGGACGGGCGCGCGCAGAGGCCGAGGCCTGCGCACCTGGCCCACACGGGGCCGAGCGCCGGGAAGACGCTCGGCAACCCGGCGTGCGGATCTCGCCCCGGCCGGCCGCGTCCCGGCGTGCCCGGCCACCTGGCCATTCCCCACCCCGCAGCCGGCAGGCCTCCTCCCCGGCAGGGGCGGCCCGGCGGGCCGCGGGGCGAGGGGCGAAGGGGCCCGAGGGGTTCTGTGCCATCGCGCAGCGGTGCGGAGTGCAGGCCGCCCTCCGAGCTGCCTGCCGCGCGCGAGCAAGGCGAAGGAGGCCGAGGGGATGCCGCCCAGGGCACTCATAGGGGAGGAGGGAGAGAGGGCGGAGGGAGGAGGGGCAGGGAGGAGGGGGAGAGGCGGAGCTCGAGGGGGGGGCAGGACAGGGACGGGGGATGGATCACACGGGACGAGGAGGATGGATGGCGTGGACGGGGCGAGCACGATGGGAAAGGGGCCCGCTGGGGCCGGCGTCTGTCGGGCGTCCTGCCCAGAAACAGCGCGCAGGCCTCTGCGCGCGGGTGGGGCGAGCTCCGCACCCTAAGCAGTGCAAAGGCGGGAGGCGGAAGCCTCCTCCTCCTCCTCCTCCTCCTCCTCCTCCTCCTCCTCCTCCTCCTCCCTCGTGGATTGAGCACCACGCATCGTCATTGCACCTCCTCCTGATCCCCCTGCTCCTCCTGATCCTCCTCCGCCTCCCTCACCAGACTTGCGCGACCAACTTCGTCCACAGGGTGCAGCGGCAGGGCCGGCGATCATCGCCCAAGCTCAAGACGCCGCCGCCCACTTCGCAGACCTCGGCTCGTGACGACTTCCGCATCGCGCGTGGCCTCCCCGGCCCGTGCCCCCGGGAAGTGCGGTCGAGGGCAGAGCCACGCGAGGCAGACGCGATGCGGCGCGGCATCGGGCGGCAGGTGACGAGGCCCTCCGTGCCGCTCCCCGCGTCGACAACGCCACGGCCGCTGGAGCCGCCGTGTCCTCCGGAGCCTGGAGCCTGGAGCCGCGGGCGCGTGGCCCCGAGGTGCGGGGCAGCCGCCTGCTCCTGGACAGCCTCGCCCAGCCAGGTCGGCCAACGCAGCACGCGGCGACGAGGCGGCGGCCACGGGCGCCCACCTCACAAAACCACGGGCGCCCCGACGAGGCGGACGAGGCGGCGACTCGACGCCTCGCCGACGCGGCTCAACGGACGAGGCGGCGACTCGGCGGCGACGGGCGCCCCCCGCTCAGAACTCCGGGAATGACAGCCAGCGGCTCAGCGGACGAGGCGGCGATTCGGCGGCGACGGGCGCCCACCGCACGAAAACCCGGAACTGAGAGTGAACGCAGAAGGCGGCGACGAGGCAGCCCAGCCACGGCGAACTTGCTGAAAAGTACAAGCAACCCCGCACGCTGCGCCGCCGCTCTCGCCTGCGGCTCCACGATTCCCTGGATTCTTACGTAGGCCTCCGACGTCGATGCTGACCACCAGCCGAGGCGGTCGATCGTGGCCCTGTCACGGCCCAGCGCCGCCGCAGCGCTCCCCATGCAGCACCTCTCGCTATGACCAGTCCAGAAGCGACCTTCCACGTCGCCGAGGAGCGGGATGTCGTCGATGAGGTCCCAACCGTCCCAAGGCACCTTCAGCATCCGCGAGAACGCCTGCGAGGTGCATTGGGCCTCATTCCAGCCCGACGGGTGGTCTTTCACGCACTCCAGGGACCCCAAGATAAGATATTTCACCTCTACCCAGCCTTTGCGTCCCAGCCCACTTGTCTTGGCCCGAGCCAATCCGAGGCGCAGTCCACGCGCCTGCAGGAGGAGGAAAATGGGGAGGAGAAGGAGGAGGATGAAGAAATGTTGAGGATGAGGATGAGGATGCTGAGGATGCTGCTGCTGATGATGATGATGATGATGATGATGATGATGACGATGATGACGAGGAGGAGGAGGAGGAAGAGGAGGGGGATAATATGAAGAGGAGGAGGAGGCGGAGGAGGACCAGTGTAAACCCAAGATTCATCAACGATGTTGGAATATACCCTCCCTCCAAGCTCCCTCTTCATAGGCGACTACAAAACATTCATTTCCACTGAAGGAAATGCGCCTGTGGGGGACAAACGTGTGAACATCTGGGCGTGTACCAAAACACCATTCGAATGACTTCAACGCCACGAATCAACCTGCCTGTGGCGTCTTGGCGATCCTGAATCGTGCCAAAAAACCATTCCTGGACTACAGCACTGCGAATCAACTTCACTGTTGCACCCTGACAATCTCGACCCGTTCCAAAACACCACTTCCGGAATGCTAAGCATGAACATCAGCGAAACTCTTGCAATTATTTGAAGCGAATGCGCGGCGCTACGGCGGGAACCACATGCTGAAAACGAGCCGCCCTGAATCCGTGAAACTCTTGCATTCAAACGACCTGTCCTCAATCCGTGGAGCTCGTGGAGTTTTTACAACGAATGCGTGCGACGCTAAGGCGAGAACAATGCATTGAAAACGATATGTCCTCAATCCGTGGAACCCTTGCAAATTGTTAAACAGAATGTGTGCGGCGCTATGGTGAGAGCCACAGTTTGAAAACGACTTGTCCTCAATTCGAGAAGCTCTTGCAATTTGTTATAACGATTGTGCGCGGCGCTAAGGCGATAGTCACAGTTTGAAAGCGGCCCGCCCTCCATCTGTGAAGCTGTTTTAAGCTTCAAGCTCATACATGGTAAGGAAGTCGAAACCGAAACACCCAGCCCGCCCTTCAGACTGGCCTCGGGTGCGACAGGGAGGAGTTATTCGCAAGGAAAAGGAATGGTGGAGGAGGAGGAGGAGATGGAGGAGGAGGAGGCAGTTAGAACGGGAAGCCGATGGGGGCCATCCTGCTGCTTTCTTGAGGTCACATCGGACTCTCTTGGCGCCTCTTGGGGCCAGCTCGGAACTGCTTCGGGCCTGTTGCGGCCGGTTTCGAAGGCCCGGGGGCCGTCTGGAAGCATACACACTGGGGCCATCTCGGTGTGGTTGTAGGTCGTCTTGAAACCATCTTGGAGTTTGCTCGGGGGCCATGTTGGCTCTTATTGGGGATGTCGAGGGCCCTCTTGAGAGCTCTTGGGGGCATCTTGGGAGGAGGGCGACGAACGAACAAACCGCGAACGACGAAAGCAAATGGCTCCGAGCTCTAGAATACGGATGCGCAAGGAAATGAGCTGCACGCTGACGCAATCCCTGCTCCACGCCCTGTCTGGTTTGTGGTTCGACCTCACTGTCCGACTCACCGTCCGATGAGAGAGGAGGCATGCGGGCTCAAGGAGGAGGATGGAGGACCGGCGAGGGGTCAGAGAATGAGGGAACAGGGGGGAGTGGAGGGAGAAGAAGGAGGGAAGAGGGTGGACGAATGGAGGACGCGGGGTGAATGGGGGGAGGGCTGGATGAGTGAGGCGGAGAGGCAGAGCGAGGAGGAGTGACAGTAGCCAGGAGGAGGAGGAGGAGGAGGAAGAGGAGAAGGAGGAGGAGTAGGAGCGGAGGAGGAGCAAGAGGGTGATGGAGGCGGAGGAGGAAGAGACCCTCCCGCACATGTTATGCTAAAGGAGCGATGGAAATGGAGTAAGAAAGACCACGATTTGACCGCATGCAAAAATGGCCCTGGCCAAGAGTGACCCGCGGTGCACGGCTTTCGGGAAGTTAAACCCAAGCAAGCGTGACCGCCGCTTCCGTTGCACCGCGTTCAGCGATCGGAGGACACCAGCTGCACCGAAGGTCACCCTGGCGAAGGGTCACTCTTACTCGGCCGCACGCTGACATGGCTTGCGGATCCGTGAATCTGGCACCGCGGCGCTACATCCGCGGAGCGTGGAAGGTGCCCGCATAAACACGAGGCCGGTGCCGCCCCACTGGGCGACGGAGCGCGCCGACCTGGCATGGGAACGGGACCCGCTGCTAATCCACGCGCCTTCATCTGCATCTGCGGCTCCTCGACTCCCGCGCGTGGTCGAAGGGGGGCCGGCAGCGGGGCGCTCCGCTGCAGCGGCAGGCTCAGCCGCACCGCCAGCACGGCCGCCTGCTCCCTGCGGACGGCGGTCAGCGCCCCTGCGCCTGCGCGGGCCGCGGGCCGCTCAAGGCACCGAGCTCAGTTCGCGCCTTGTTTCGCCGCTGTTCGTGTTATGACTGGGCTTGGCAGATCGCCGTCCCCCAAGGCGGCCCGGGGTGTCCCGGCAGGCATCAACGTAGACCCCATGCGTCCTCAGGGTTGACCCGACGGGCCTCAAGATTGGCTCTTGCGTGCCCCTCCCCCGCAAGACGGCCTCCTGGCCCGAGCTGGCCCAGAGGCCCCGAGTAGCTCCCCGGATGGCCCAAGATGGTACGTGAGGCCCCGATTGGCGAATTACAAGACATCTCCAAGAGGGCTCCTCCTCCTCCTCCTCCTCCTACTCCTCCTCTTCCTCCTCCTCCTCCTCCTCTTCCTCCTCCTCCTCCTCCACCTCCTCCTCCTCCTCCTCCTCCTCATCCTTATCCTCCCTCCTTCTCCACCTCGTACCGCTTCCTCCTCCTCCTCCTCCTCCTCCTGCTTCTCCTCCTCCTCCTCCTCCTCCTCATCCTTCCTCCCTCCCTCCCTCCCTCCCTCCCTCCCTCCCTTCTCTTCCCTCCCGCTCCCTCCCTTCCTCCCCCCCTCCCCCTCCCTCCTCCCTCCTCTCTCCTCCATCCTCCTTCGTCCCTTCCTCCTCCTGCCTCCCTCCCTCCCTCCCTCCCTCCCTCCCCCCCCTCCCTCCTTCTCGACCTGCCCATTCCCTTCCGGCTCCCCGTCCGCCTCTACACCCTCCTGCTCGTCCTCCTCATTCCCGTCCTCGTCCTAGTTGTCATCTTCCTCGTCCCCCTTCTTCTCATCCTGCTCTCCACTCCCCACCCCCATCCTTGTCTAAATCCCTCCCCGATCCTCCCCTTCCTTCCGTCAGACCCAAGCCTCCCAGCGCGAAGGGGGTGACCAACATACGGCCAGCGGATTAAACACAACAGCAGCAACAGCAGCAGCAACAACAACAACAACGTGCGCGGAGGGGGTATCCAACATGCGTCTGGCGCGTGCGCATCTGAGACGTGTTGTCACGTGTGCCGGCGTCGAGGGGGGCACCCAAACGTATGGTCGGTGGGCTCTGCGCACGCAGAAGGACGTGCGCGGACGGGGGGGATCCGACATGCGTCTGGCGAGTGTGCGTTTGGGATGTGCTTGTGCGTGTGCAGGCGCCAAAGGGGATGTGGTCGGCGAGTTCCTCACGGGTAGAAGTACGCGCGCGGAGGGGGGGTTCAACATGATTATGACGCGTGCGCGTTTGGGACGTGTTTTCACGCGTGCAGGCGCCAAGGGGGGTATCCAACATTGTGGTCAGAGGACTCTTCACGGGGGTCCCCAGCATTCGTCTGGCGCATGCGCGTTTGGAATGTGTGTGTGTGTGTTTTAACGTGCGCTAGCGCGAACGGGGATATCCAACACGTGGCAGTCGGATTCTTAACGTGCGCGCGCAGAAGGGTATCCAACATGTACCTGAGCGTGCGCGCAGAGTCACGAAACGCGCGGTCCGCCCTACACGGTGTAGCACAGCACACCGCACAGCAAAGCGCAGAATAGCATGGAATAGCATACCATAGCGTTCCATCGCAATCGTAATATCATAATGAAGTTCAGCTCAGTGTGTTATTGGATCCCTCGAGGTTTCTCAAGAACAGCAGGTGGGGCAGGAGGGAGAGGCGGGACTCCTCCTCCTCCTCCTCCTCCTCCTCCTCCTCCTCCTCCTCCTCCTCCTCCTCCTCTTATTCCTCCTCTTCCTTCTTATCCTTGTCTTGCTCATCCTCTCCCGCCTCCCCCCCAAACTCCTCCTCCACGACTCCTTCGACAGCGACGATGATGACGACGAGCACCAAAACGAAAACGGTGACGACAATAAGGTCGACGACTTCCGCCGCCGCCGCCAACGACGACATCCGACGAACCCCCCCGAGGCTTGGCACGGCCCTGGCCACGGATCAGGCGGTCCACCCAATCTGCCCCGCGGCGCCGGCCGCGCTGCAGGGGCCCCACCTGCTGATCCACGAATGCCTGGCGCGTCGCCGTCGCCGTCGCCGCCCTCGCCGCCGTCGCCGTCGCCGTCGCCGCCGCCGCCGCCGCCGCCGCCGTCGTCGTCTTCGTCGTCGTTCTCGTCGTTCTCGTGGTTCTCGTCGTCGCCGTCGTTGTACTAAGAGGGGCGCAGACTCGCGTCGCCCGAATCCCGCTTCGCCAGGACTGGCTTCGCCAGGACTCGCGTCGCCAGGACTCGGTTCGCCGAGGCTCCCTCCGCCTGGACTCGCTGCGCCCGACTCGGTTCGCCCGACTCGGCTCGCCAGGACTGGGTTCGCCCGACGCGATTCGCCAGGACTCGGCTCGAAGGAACTAGGTTTCGCTGGGGCGCGGCTCGCCCGATTCCCGTTGCTCAGGCATTCGGCTCGCGTGGGCCAAGTTCGGCGGGAACCGTATCGCCAATCGGTTCGCTGGAGTCTCGGGATATGTGTGGTCTGTGTGGTCTGTGTGTCTGTCTGTGTGTGGTCATCTGCGCGTGCATGCGACAGTGTGCACATGCGTGCGCGCGCGTTGCCAGCGGAGTGCACTCGGAGAGCAGGGAGCAGGAAGCATGCCCCCCCCCCCAAGGCCGTCATGCACAGAGGGGCGTGGGCGGGAATGTGGCCAGCCTGCCGCCTCCCGCGCCGCGTCCGGTCTGTACGCGCGGGCATGCCCGAGCCCGACGGCACTCGGTGCCGAGGCGGGCACGGGGACCTGGCAGGACGAGGGGCACGCAGGGCCGACTATGAAACATCTGAATGTGAGGAGGAGGGGAGGAGGAGGAGGAGGAGGAGGAGGAGGAGGAGGAGGAGGAGGAGGAGGAGGAGGAGGAAAAGAACAAGGAGGAAGAGGAGAAGAGGGATTAGGAGGAGGAGGAAAAGAACAAGGAGGAGGAGGAGGAGAAGGAGGGAGGAGGAGGAGGAGGAGGAGGAGGGAGAAAAGAACAAGGAGGAAGAGGAGAAGAGGGATTGGGAGGAGAGGAGGACAAGAACAAGGAGGAGGAGGAGGAGAAGAGGGAGGAGGAGGAGGAGCAGAGGAGAGGAAGGAGGAGGAGGAGGAGGAGGAGGAGGAGGAGCGGGCCGACCTGCGACCTCCCTGCTGCGTGCGGCCAGCGGCCCGGGAGTGTAGCACAGCGCAGTGTACACGTCTGGGCGCAGTCCCATGCGGGTCGGGTCGGGTGGGGTCGGGCGGGGCATTAAACATGATACGCCGTCGAGGTACCACGCGTGTTGGGCGGGCAGGCCAGGTCGGGCGGAGAAACGATTCCGGCGAACGAGGCAGGGCGAAGCGAGTCCAGGCGAAGCGAGTCCAGGCGAAGCGAGTCCCAGCGAAGCGAGTCCGGGCGAAGCGAGCCCGACGAAGCAAGCCCAGGTCAGGCGAAGCGAGTCTACGCAGTCGGAGGGGGAGGAGGAAGAGGAAGAGCAAGGAGGAGGAGGAGGAGGAGCAAGGAGGAGGAGGAGGGAGGAGGCGGAGGGAGGAGGAGGAGGAGGAGGAGAGGAGGAGGAGGAGGGAGGAGGAGGAGGAGGAGGGGAAGGGAAGAGGAATGGCAGGAGGAGAAGGAGGAGGTCTATGGGGATGCGGCCTAGGAAGAAGAGGTCTGGTAGGGGGGCGAGGCCCAGGAGGATGAGGTGGAGGGGAGGTGATTTGCAGATTGTGCTGCTTCTCTTCCTCCTCCTCCTCCTCCTCCTCCTCCTCCTCCTCCTCCTCATCCTCATCCTCCGCCTGCTCCTGCTCCGCATGCAGGCGGAGGTGGCCTCGGCGTCCGCCAAGAGCGCGCCCACCACGATCGATCGCCGCTGCATCCCCTCCCAGTCCTCTCGCCGCGCAGGGGCAGCAGGCGGCCGCGCTCACCCGCTGTTGGGGGAGGGAGGACGAGGAGGACGTGGAAGAGGAGGGGACGCAGCGGGTGGGGCACCTTGGCAAACCAAACGAGCCTTGACAAACACACGTGAAACATCGCGTTTCGGAAAGCCCGTGCGGTTTGGGAAGGCCCGGTTGGTTTGGGAGGGCACGGGCCGCACGTTGCGGAAGGCCCGTGTCGTTTGGAAATGCCCGGTTGGTAAAGCCCGGCTGGTTTGGGAAACCCTAGACCTCGCATTGCGGAAAGCTCGTTACTTTGGGAAGTCCTGGCTGGTTTAGGAAACCCCAAACCTCGGGTTGCGGAAGGCCCGTTTAGTTTGGCAAGGGCCGGCTGGTTTGGGAAAGCGCAGACCTCGTGCGTTGCGGACGACATCGACGACGAAGAGGACGACGACGACGACGAGGCAGACAAGAACGACGAACGCCACGAGGAGGACAAGGTCGACGAGCAGGACCTCCACGACGAGGAAGACATGGAAAACGACGGCAACGACATCCAAGACAACGACTCTAACCCAACGGGCGGGTCGGGCGGGCGGATTCTAAGGCGGGCGGACCCTGACGGGCGAGTCGGGCGGGCAAGCCCTCACGATCGGGTCGGGCGGGCGGACCGTGACGGGCGGGTCGGGCGGCCCTAGCAGGCGGGTCGGGCGGGCGGACCCTGACGGGCGGGTCGGGTCGGGTGCGATAAAGTAGTGTGCAATCCAGCCATGGCGACATCCGCGGTGGCGATGACGATGGCGGCGAGGACGATGACGACATCGACGACGAGGCTGGCAAGGACGACGAACGCCACGAGGAGGTCAGGGCCGACCACGACGACGACGCAGGCGAGAACGACGACGTCGACGACGACGATATCGAACACGACGGCAACGGCATCAAAGAAAACGACGCTGACCCAACTGGCGGGTCGGGCGGGCGGACCTTAACGGACGGGTCGGGCGGGCGGACCCTGACAGAAGGGTCGGGCGGGCGGACACTCTCGGGCGGGTCGGGCGGGCGGACTCTAACAAGCGGATCGGGCGGGCGGACTCTGACGGGCGGGTCGGGCGGGCGGGCCCGAACGGGCGGGTCGGGCGGGCGGACCCCGACGGGAGGGTCGGGCGGGCGGGCGGGTCAGGTCGGGTTGGGTGGGACATTGAAATCGTGTGCAATCAATCCAGCCATGGCGACATTTACGGTGGCGACGACATGGGCGGCGAGGCCGACGACGACGAGGCCGGCAAATACGACGAACGCAACGATGACAACGAGGCCGACGTCTAGGACATCGACGACGACGATTACGACGACGATTACGACGACGACTACGACGACGACGATTACAACGACGACGACGACGACGACGACGACGACGACGACGACGACGACGACCGACGATGACGACGACGACGAAGGCGGGAACGGCGGCGTCGACGACGACGGAGACGTCGAAAACGACGGCAACGACGTCCAAGGCAACGGCGCTGACCCAACGGGCGGGTCGGGCGGGCGGACCCTGGCGGGCGGGTCGGGCGGGCGGACCCTGGCGGGCGGGTCGGGCGGGCGGGCCCTAGCGGGCGGGTCGGGCGGGCGGACCCTGGCGGGTGGGTCGGGCGGGCAGACCCTGGCGGGCGGGCGAGTCGGGTCGGGTGGGACATTAAAGTCGCGCGCGTTCCATCCATCGCGGCACCCACGGAGGCGATGACGAGGGAGCCTGCCATGCTGCGGAAGGCCTGGCTCGACCCCTTCGTGGGGGGGCCCACCATGCTGCGGAAGGCGAGTCTAGTTTGGGAAGGGAGGAGAAGGGGGGAGGAGGAGGAGGAGGAGGAGGAGGAGGAGGAGGAGGAGGAGGAGGAGGAGGAGGAGGAGGAGGAGGATGTGAGGAACAGGAGGAGGGAGGAGGAAGGTGAGGGGGGAGGAGGGAGGGGGGGGAGTAGGGAGGGGAGAGAGGAGGAGAGGAGGCGGAGGAGGGAGGAGGAGGCACTAGGAGGAGGAGGAGGAGAAGAGAGGAGGAAGAGGGAGTGAGGAGGAGGGAGGATGGAGAGGAGAGAGGAGCGGAGGAGGAGGAGGAGAGGAGGAGGATGGGAGGGAGGAGGGGGAGGAGGGGGGAGGAAGGAGGGGAGGAGGGATGAGGAGGAGTGATGGGGCGTGCGTTGCAGTCCCACAAGTCAGTCCTAAAAACCTAGTACGCATCGCCTTGCGTACCCCGCACTCCTCTTGCACTGTCGGGAAGCGCCCCCCCCCCCCCCCCCCCGAAAGCTGAGCACCCCCTGGGCCTGTTACGGTGAGGACAGTGGATGAGGAACCCTCAGATGAGGAATCTAGGGTCTCGAAGCCAGTGGAACTTCGATCGTGGATTGGCCATGGATCTCACCGCCACCCGCCACCCTTATTAGATAAGGAACTCCCCAGGGTCTGAAACCTCCTGGGCACATTCCTTAACCAACGCCCCCACCATATTCCGGCAAGAAGCAAGTTCGAAGAACACGAGTCGCCCTCCGTCTTCTAATTGTCCGAGGTGCGTAAAGGTCTGATCAGAAGGTGCAGGAAACCTGACCGGACAAGAACGGGAAGCGTCGCTTTAGTCCACCAAGCATGTGGAAAATGCTCTGTTGTTGTTATGCCGCGCAGGTATGCCGTGGCGCGCGTGTCGGCGTGCGTGCGGGGTGTGTTTTGCTGTGCTCCTGTATGTTCTGCCATGCTCCTGTTCTGCCGTGCTTCTGTGTTCTGCCGTGCTTCTGTGTGCTCTGTGTGTTCTGCCGTGTTCCTGTATCTGCCGTGCGGATCGTCGCGGTGGTCGTTTTGGCAGAGCTTCTGGGCGCACACGGCAGAAAAAAGATGAGGAGCACGGCAGAATAGGCCCCAAGAGCGAAGGAGCACGGCAGAGAAAGACAAGGAACACGGCAGAATAGACCCCAAGAGCAAATGAGTACGGCAGAATACACCCCAAAAGCTAAGGAGCACGGCAGAAAATGACAAGGAGCACGGCAGAATAGACCTCAAGAGCTAAGGAGCAGGCAGCAAAAGACCAGGAGCACGGCAGATTAGGCCCCAAGAGCGAAGGAGCACGGCAGAAAAAGACCAGGAGCACGGCAGAATAGACACCAGGAGCTAAGGAGCAGGGCTGGATATGCCTCAAGTGCGAAGGAGTACGACAAAGAAAAACCAGGAGCACGGCAGGATAGACCCCAAAAGCTAAGGAGCACGGCAGAGAATGACCAGGAGCACGGCAGAATAGGCCCCAAGAGCGAAGGAGCACGGCAGGAAAAAAACAGAAACACGAAGGAGTGCGGGAAAATAGACCCCAAGAGCGAAGGAGCAAACCAGAAATAGACGAGGAACACAGCATAATAGAACCCAAGAGACAAGGAACATTGCAGAATATGCCCCAAGTGCGAAGGAGCACGGCAGAAAAAAAACAGGAGCACGGCAGACAAAGACCAGGAGCACAGCAGAATAGGCCCCATGAGCGAAGGAGCACGTCGGAAACAAACCAGGAGCATGGCAGAATAGACTCCATGAGCTGCCGAGCACGGCAGAAAAAGACCAGGAGCACGGCAGAATAGACCCCAAGAGCTAAGGAGCACGGCATAATAGGCCCCAAGAGCGAAAAAGACGCCAGAAAAAGACCAGGAGGACGGCAAAAGATGCCCACAAGAGCTAAGGACGACGGCAGAAACGACCGAAACACAGCAGAAAAGGCCCGAGGAGCCAAGGAGTACGACAGAAAAGACCAGGAGCACGGCAGAATAGGCCCGAAGAGCGAAGGAGCAAACCAGAAAAAGATGAGGAGCACGGCAGAATAGAACCCAAGAGACAAGGATCACGGCAGAAGATGCCCCAAGTGCGAAGAAGCACGGCAGAAAATGACCAGGAGCACGGCAGAATAGACCCCCAGAGCTCAGGGGCACGGCAGAAAAAGACCAGGACCACGGCAGAATAGACCCCAGAGCTAAGGAGCACGGCAGAAAAAGACCAGGAGCACGGCAGAATAGGCCCCATGAGCGAAGGAGCACGGCAGAAAAAAAACAAAGAGCACGGCAGAATAGACCCCAAGAGCTGAGGAGCACGGCAGAAGAGGCCCCAAGAGCGAAGGAGCATGACAGAAAAAAAACAGGAGCACGGCAGAATAGACCCCAAGAGCTGAGGAGCACGGCAGAATAGGCGCCAGGAAAGAAGGAGCATTGCAAAACACGACCAGTGACCAGGAGCACGGCAGAATAGACCGCGAGAGCTAAGGAGCACGGCAAGATAGATGCAAGAATACAGCATAATACGACCCAAGGAAGAAGGAGTATGCAAGACAAACACAAGGAGCACGGCAGAATAAACCCCGAAAGCGAAGGAGCACAGCAGAATATGCCCCAAGACCTAAGGAGCACGGCAGAAAAAGACCAGGAGCACGGCATCATAAGCCCCAAGAACAAAGGATTGTGACAGAAACTGGCCAGGAGCATGGCTGAATAGGCTAGAAGAGCGAAGGAGCACGGCACAAAAAAACAAGGAGCATTTCAGAATAGACCCCAAGAACGAAAGAGCACGGCAGAATAGACGTGAAGAACGAATGAGCACTTTTTTCGCCGGCCATGCCCCGCCCGATTTTTCGAGGATGTATGCAGCGATAGCACGATTTTAAACATGAGAGGTATTGAAACCGCCACTCCAAGATATCATTTTTGTTAGGATGTCTCAGGCGAGACGCTAGTTTTTGAACATCTGTCGAACTCGCGGGTTCCCATGTTTTTAAGGGATGTCTCAGGCGAAACGCTCATTTTTGATGAAAACGATGTTGTGAACAGTTCAGTTTTGTAAGGATGTCTCAGGCGAAATCGCCATTTTGGATCGTCTCGAGGGCGCTCCTGGGGGTCAAATTTGGGCTTGTTTGTGGCCTTTGGGGGCCTTCTTGATGCCTTACAAAACCGTAACAGTCCGATGTTACACACATTCATGTTTTCAGGATGTCCCTAGCGAAATCGTCATTTCTAGATGACTGGCTTAAACCACCATCTAGAAGCCTTTTCAGGAGCGATCCCAAGACGATGTTAAAACAGCAGTTTTCAAAACGATGTTGTTCGATGTGTTATTTTGTTGAAGATGTCCCTCGCGAAATCACTATTTTCAGCAACCTTAAGGGCGCTCTTGGAGCCATGTTGTGGCCTTCTTTTGCTTTCTGATGCCCTCCTAAAATCATTACGATGCGATGTCGCACGCATCATTTTTTTGAGGATGTCCCTACCGAAATCGACATTTTTTGAAGGCTGCCTTGAGCCGTTTGGAAGCCTTTTCAGAAGCAAAGTCAAAACTATGTAAGAACAACAGTTTTCAAGTCGATGCTGGTGTATGTTTTCACTTTTTGAGGATGTCCATACCGAAATCGCTATTTTCGGAAGAATCGTTCTGACAGCCATCTTGACGTGCTTTTTGGCCTCTCATTTCGTCATCTTGAGGTACTCCGAGAACGATATCAAGACGACGTTGAGGACATCTCATTTTGTTGAGGATGTCCCTAGCGAAATGCAAATTTTCTGCCGTGCTCTTCGTTCTGGCCCGCCGTGCTGCCGCTCGTTGTCTGAGGATGTCCCTAGCGAGATCGCAATTCTTAACATAAGAGTTAGTTAAATACTTCAGTCGTCATCTCATTTGTTCGAGGATGTCCCGAGCGAAACGCAAATTTTCGCAGACGGCGAAAGTTCGCTGTCATCAACTGTTCGAGGATGTCTCGAGCGAAACGCTTGTTTTTGTTAAACGCGATGTCGCAAAGATCTCATTTTTGTGAGGATGTCTCACGCGAAATCGCCATCCCGAGGAATCTGCTAAGCCTGTATACCGTGCGACCCGCCACCCCCTATACTTAAGAGATCTCTTACTGATATGAGGAGGATTCAGCCAAAACGTCCAGCTCGCTTCTCGTTCCTCGAAGACGCTTCCCGTCATCCGCCGACGCCGACAGAAAACGAGTCGCCCTCCGTCTTCTAACTGTCCGAGGTGCGTAAAGGTCTGATCAGAAGGTGCAGGAAATCCGTCGACACTGTCGGCGTGTGGAATGGGTTGTTCTTCTCGTCCATGCCTTCTTGCCTTTCCCATCTTCTCCGTCTCCTTCTCGTTCGTCTCCCCCTCCTCCTCCTCCTCCTCCTCCTCCTCCTCCTCCTCCTCCTCCTCCCTCCTCCTTCATCTCTCCTCCTCCTCCTCCTCTCCTCCTCTCCTCCTCCTCCTCCTCCTCCTCCTCCTCCTCCTCCTCCTCCCTCCTCCTCCTCCTCCTCCTCCTCCTCCTCCTCCTCTCCTTGCGTAAAGTAAATTGACTCGAAGGGTTTCCCCTTCCCTTTGTTCCCTTCCCCGGCCGGGGGGGGGGGGTCCGGGGGAAGCCCGGGGGGGGGGGGTCCGGGGGGGGGTCCTGGAGGGGCCGGGTCAGAATATCACCTCCCTCCTCCTCCTCCGCCTCCTGAGCGTCTTTTGCCACCTTCTCCATCTCCTTTTCGTTTTGCTCCTCCTCCTCCTCCTCCTCACACACCTCCTCCTCTTTCTCCTCCTCCTCCTCACACACTTCCTCCGCCTACCCTGTCACGTTGTCCTTTAGCTCCTTCCTGTGATCACACATCCCGTCGCCATCGACGGCCAAAACCTTCAGGGTCGGCGGCACTGGCCGTAAGGCCTTCACAATACCCATCGAGTACACCCCTTTGGACAAAGAAACGCCCTGAACCAGTGTAACCTCGCACCACCTCCTCCTCCTCCTCCTCCTCCTCCTCCTCCTCCTCCTCCTCCTCCTCGCCCCTCCTGCTCCCTGGCGTCCTCCGCCACCTGCTCCTCAACATCCTCGTCGTCCTCGTCGTCGCCGTCTTCAGGGTCGGCGGCACCGGCCGTAAGGCCTTCGCAATACCCATCGGGTACCCCCATTAGGACAAAGAAGTACCCTGATCCCGTGTAATTGTTGCAGCATACTTGAACTTCTGGCCATCACTCTGCTGAAGAAATCATGAAGGACACGTCCACGATACCAGGATGAAAAAGAACTGCCTCTATCCGTGAAGCTGCTCCTCGCAACTAGGCGGAATGACGACAAGGAAAAGCAGGGGGAGGGAAGGAGGAGGCAGAGGAGGACGAGAGGAGACGTAGGGGAGTGGGGAGGAGGAGGCGGATGGGAGCAGGGCGAGGAGAGTGCCAGCAAGGCATCGTCCTACAAGGGGGGGGGACGTGGGTGAGGAGGGAGTGGGAGCAGCAATGGCAGCAACACGTTGTCCTGCAGGGACAGCGTCACCAACTGATCCAGGTCCTCCAGGTCCTCGGGCAGGTTTTCGTCGTCGGAGTCCTCATCATCGGAGTCATCGGAGAAGTCGCTCCAATCGGAGAACTCGCTCCAGTCGACGAAACTGAAGAGGGGGAGGGAGTGGGGGAGGAGGAGAGGGAGAACAGAAGGAGGATGAGGGGACGAGGAGCAAGAGGAGGAGGAGAGGAGGAGAAGGAGGAGGACCACGATCTGCAGTGCCCCCTCCCGTCCCCTTGTGCCCTTCTCACTGATCCTTACAAGCATGATTTACCACTGCGCGTGAAGCACCCCTATGGAACCACGAGCGCCCCGGGAGCCCGCAATTCAGGCGGGAACTCCGCTTTGAGGCCGTGCGCAACGAAGGCCCAGCTTTGAGAAGGAACCACCCTCCGTCCGCTTCGCTGCTGCGGAAATTCTTATCCTCTGGCAAAAGCCCGACGAGGAGCTGAGCCCATTCGTGAGCATGCGCATCTCGACGATTCTGAGGATGACCCACTGCAGCAGAGATCGAGGTGCACTCGGCTGCCGCAGGGGAATCGTACGCGGCCCTGCGATGTGCTGCAGAGGGCTGCCGTCGTCCTCGAGATTTGGCCTGAGGGCGAGTCAGGCGAGGAGGATTGGGAGGGGCTCTCTGACGCGGGGCGCCTTGACTTCGAGCTGGATGCTCGCATGTGCACGTGCTACTCGAAGATCGATGCAGAAGCCGCGGTAGAATCCCTGTGGAGAATTTGGGAGTCGTGCGCGATCTGAGGGCTGAAGCCAATGGCTGATTCTCGCTCCATTACCCCCCGCTCGTGCCTCGACGAGCGCAGTCGACGGTGGATGCTGCTCTCAGGCAGGTCTGGGGTCGGGCCCTGTTCTGCGCCTCCCCGCACGTTAAATGGGATCGCCATCCCAACACATGATGAGCTTCACCTCCTTCCACGTGCTCCTCCTCGTGCTCCTTCTCTTTCCACAATTCGGCCCTCTGGTTTCCCAGGGTGCGCCGCCTGATCTCGTCGTTCTTCACACCCCCGCGAATGCCGCCGTCGAAATAGTCCTCGCCGTGTTGGGGAAGCAGCAGCAGCAGCACAGGGCCAAAACCAGACCACTCAAGAGTGGAGCCTAGACGCTGAAAGCTGATAGCCGATAGCATCATTAGACTTCTCAAGGAAGCCCCCCAGAGCCCAGGCTGTGCTCAGAAAAAAGCTGCACTGCACGGCACCCCAAAGGACGCTAAGCCCCGACAGGGTGACTTTCCTGCTGCCTCCGGGGTCCAGCCCGAAACGGCTGACTTCTCTCGGACGAGCGCGGGGGGCTGATACCGCCTTCGTGCCTGCTGCGCTCGTCTTTTGTGATGCCGCACCGATGTGACAGTGGGGTGCTGGACAAGCAAGCCTGCCCCGCGGGGCCGCGCCTGCGCGCGGGCAGCGCAGCAGCTCCGTCGAGGAGGTCTCGGCTCCCCCCCAAAACCGCAGGGCGCCCCCTCCTCAGCGGCGGCCGGAGGAGGCTTTGCCCCTCCGTGCCGCGGGAAACCATCGATTGGACGGGCATCGCGCGCGCTCTGGTGACGCTGCGCGCCGTCACTCCGAAGCTCTCAGGGCCTCGCCAGCTGTCTGGATGCCCTGCTCATTTGACAGAGGCCAGCAGCAGCAGCGCCTGGTTCACGCCCATCTCGGGGAAAAACCATGTAAGGATTGGCATCATCACATGCTGCAAGGGGCCAATCCACTTGATGGTCATGGCGGTCCTCGGGTGGAAGATGAGAGACCGCATGATGTTGCGGTAGAAAGCGGAGCTGACGAGAAGCCGGCAGCATCTCTTGATGCAACGACGCCAGGCTGGGCACGAGCCCTTTGCGGGCGGTGTTGGCAGCTTCTCGAGCTCGGTGCCCAGCCATAAGAACGCGCAGGGGTGCATCACGTCGAGGCCAATGAATGTGATGATTAACGCTGCACCCACATCTACGGCGACCCATCCCGTGGCGAACAGCGTCCAAGTCACAATCGTGCCTGCGACGAGCAGCAGCGTCCACCACTGGGTGATGGACTTCGAGACTGCACCTCTGTCGCCACCCACCCAGTAGCTGATATCGACGCCAAGCATCTTGTTCTTGAAGTAATCGGAGAATCCCATGACGATGGAGTATACCGTCAGTGGCGCCGTGATGTAGAACATCTGTGTGGTGCGCCAGATGTTTGTGAGGCTCAGGAAGAACACCTCGTTGGCCTGCATTCCCTGATCTTTGTTGTTCCGCGAGCTGGAGGCAATAATCATGGACCAGCTCAACACCTGGAGCAGCCACGAGAACATCACCATACCCATGGGATCGAAGTGGTAGTACTTTGTCCCGTACACCGTGTAATAGTTGAAACCGACCCAGAAGAAGGCAGTCCAGAACCACAAGAAATCTGCCGACCCCCGCTTGCCAGGGGTGGTGAAAAAGCATGTGAGACATTTGGCAGTACGCCAGGGATCCAAACTCGCATTAGAGGGGGGGGGAGCCTGGCGGGACGGCACAGGGAACTCATCAACGAACCTCCGGCGCCTCGGGATACTCCCAATCTGCACCCCGTTGCCTCCAAGATGCCCAGGATGTCATCGAAGCTGGCTCAGGCTGGGCTCCAAAACGCCGAGGAGTCCTCAGAAACGACCAAGATGGTCTCAAGACTGCCCGAGAGGCCTGAAAGACGCCCCAAGAGGGCTACCAGACGACCCTCAAGAGGGCCCCACGAAGCAAAAGTCTTCCCAATCCTTGGGGGGCATGTGCATTTTGTATCTTCCCATTTTTCCCCATGTCCAAAGGATGGGGTTCTTGTTATTCTCCGACCGCGCCGGACCAAGAGAACCCCTCCCCTCCTCCCTCCCTGCACTATACAATGATGATGATTGTCATGATGATAACCATGGTATGGTGAGAGTATGATGTGAGCATGATGTTGATGGTGAATGATGGATGAGTATGATGGATGAGTATGAGGATGAGGATGAGGATGAGGATGAGGATGAGGATGAGGATGAGGATGATGATGATGATGATGATGATGATGATGACGATGAGCAGATGATGAAGATGTCTCGAGCGGTTTGCTGTAAGGGGGCGCCGCCAGGGGTATTGCACGGCCTCCGTTCGCGCCCAGCATTTGCCTGTTTTGGTCCTCAACATCGAGCGCTTTCGGAGCAGATTCTGAGGATGTCTCTGGCGAGGCGCTGGTTTTCGCACCCCAGGGGGGCCAGATTTCGAGGATGTCTCAAGCGGTTTGCGTGGTTTGGTGGTCAGACTCGTCTGCTGTCAAAGCAGATTCTGAGGATGCCTATGGCGAGGCGCTGTTTCCGCACTCCCAGAGGGCCCAGATTGCGAGGATGTCCTAGACTCACTTATGCTCAAAGTCACTCGTGCTCAGGCTCACTCATACTCAGACTCGCACTCATCATATTCATACTCAGACTCACTCACACCCAGACTTACGCACACTCAGACTCACTCACATTTAGACCCACCCACCCTCAGACTCATTCGTGGTCAGACTCACTCGTACTCAGACCCACTCACATTCAGACTCACTCACGCTCAGAATCACTCTCACTCAGACCCACCCACCCTCAGATTCACTCGTAGTCAAACTCACTCGTACTCAGACCCATTCAGACTTAGACTCGTACTCACTATACTCATACTCAGACTCGCTGGCTTTCGCACCCCAGGGGGGGGCAGATTGCGAGGATGTCCCAGACTAACTTGTGCTCAGACTCGTACTCATCATACTCATACTCAGACTCACTCACACCCAGTCCATGCAAATAGATGCACATATGGGGAGCTACACGCACTGAATAATTGTTATAACAGCGTCCAAGACCGTAAAGAGCCCGCAGAAATCGTTCCCAGACGGCCCAAGAACGGCCCAAGAAATGCCCGAGAGCGCCCGAAGACGGCCGACAAAGGTCCTAAGAGGGTACCAAGAGGTGCCCAAGATGACTCAAGAGGGCCCCAACAGGGCCCCAAGAGGGGCCCAAGACAGGCAACTCGAACTGGCACTTCGAGCCCTCCACCCCAAGAGGACACCCGAAACCGCCAGAGGCGCCCAAGAAACTCCCAAGAGGCCCGAGGAAGCCCCCACGAGGCCCGAGAAGATGCCCCCAGAGGGTCACCAAACGGCCCTCGAAAAAGGCCTCCCCCGTGGACGTCTTCCCTGCTCTGGTGTCGGCGGAATGGCGCAAGCCTGCTTAATTCGCCCGCCCACTGGGCTGAGGGACGTTGTGAGACTTACGCAACTGGGACTGCGAGGCTTCAGAGGCGTCCTTCTCCTCCCCCTCCTCCCCCTCCTCCTCCTCCTCCTCCTCCGCCTCCTCCTCCTCCTCCTCCTCCTCCTCCTCCTCCTCCTCCTCCTCCTCCTCCTCCTCCTCCTCCTCCTCCCCCCTCCCCCCTCCTCCTCCTCCTCCTCCTCCCTCCTCCTCCTCCTCCTCCTCCTCCTCCTCCTCCTCCTCCTCCTCCTCCTCCTCCTCCTCCTCCTCCTCCTCCTGTTCCTCCCCCCCCCAGAGGCATCCGCCAGTCCGCCGCCAGGCTGCACCAACGCCACTTTCTGGGCTCCAAGACGCCTTCCAGACGGCGTCCAAGACGAGCTCGCATCCCGCCAGTCCTCTGGGCATAGGTGGTCTACGGAGGCTCCTCTTCCAACCCCCTTCTTCCCCTTCGGGGAAGGGCCGGGAAGGGTTTATCATTGCTCCCTATTGATATACACCCCCTCCCCTAGGCGACCGGCAGCCAACCAGGAACAATGAGGACCCCACGAGGGCCTCCCAAACCATCCCTCAAAGACAACACGAACACACACTCGGCCTCTAAATTTGGAGCACGCGCAACCAACCCGGCACGCCCCACCCCACCGCCCCTGTCAAAAGTCAAAACAAATTATCCCAGCGCGACCCTACCTAGCAATTGGAGCCCCTGGGAAAGCAGCATCAGCTAAGCTAAGCTAAGATAGCTAAGCTAAGCTAAGCTAAGCTGAGATAAGCTAAGCTAAGCTAAGCTGCGGTAAGCTAAGCTAAGCTAAACTACACTAAGCTAAGCTAAGCTGGGCTAGGCTAAACTAAGCTACAGTTAGCTAGGCTAAGCTGAGCTAAACTAAGCTAAGATGAGACAAGCAAAGCTAAGCTAAGATGAGCTGAGCTAAGCTAAGCTAAGGTCAGCTAGTGTAAGGTAAGCTAAGCTAGGCTAAGCTAGGCTAGGCTAAGCTCAGATAGGCTAAGCTAAGCTAAGCTAAGCTAAGCTAAGCTAGGATAAGCTAAGCTAAGCTAGGTCAAGCTAAGCTAAGCTAAGCTAAGCTAAGCTGAGGTAAGGTAAGTTAAGCTAAGCTAAGCTAAGCTAAGGGAACCCAGGGGGCGCAACTGGGGGAACCAGGGGGGCGCAACTGGGGGAACCGCCCGGGGTGGGTTCCATTGCCCGCCCCCTTTAGCAAAGAAATTATCCCAGCGCGACCCTACCTAGCAGTTGGAGCCCCTAGGAAAGCAGCATAAGCTAAGCTAAGCTAAGCTAAGCTAAGCTAAGCTAAGCTAAGCTAAGCTAAGCTGAGATAAGCTAAGCTAAGCGAAGCTAAGCAGCGGCTAAGCTAAGCTAAGCTAAGCTAAGCTAAGCTAAGCTAAGCTAAGCTAAGCTAAGCTAAGCTAACATGCGATAAGCTAAGCTAAAATAAGCTAAGATAAGCTAAGCTAAACTACGCTAAGCTAAGCTAAGCTAGGCTAGGCTAAGCTAAACTAAGCTAAGCTAAGCTAGGCTAAGCTGAGCTAAACTAAGCTAAGATGAGACAAGGAAAGCTAAGCTAAGATAAGCTGAGCTAAGCTAAGCTAAGGTCAGCTAAGGTAAGGTAAGCTAAGCTAGGCTAAGCTAGGCTAGACTAAGCTAAGCTAAGATGAGATAAGCTAAGCTAAGCTAAGCTAAGCTTGGCTAAGCTAAGCTAAGCTAAGCTGAGGTAAGGCAAGTTAAGCTAAGCTAAGCTAGGGGAACCCAGGGGGCGCAACTGGGGGAACCAGGGGGGCGCAACTGGGGGAACCGCCCGGGGTGGGTTACACTGCCCGCCCCCTTTAGCAAAGAAAGTAAGAACCCTTCTAGGCAGAGCCTAGGTAGGGAATTATCCCAGTGCGACCCTACCTAGGAGTTGGAGCCCCTAGGAAAGCAGCATTAGTAGTAACTTTAAAGCTAAGCTAAAGCTAAGCTAAAGCTAAGCTAAAGCTAAGCTAAAGCTAAGCTAAAGCTAAGTTAAAGCTAAGCTAAAGCTAAGCTAAGCTAAAGCTAAGCTAAAGCTAAGCTAAAGCTAAGCTAAGCTGAGCTAAGCTAAGCTATGCTAAGATGAGATAAGCTAAGCTAAGCTATGCTAAGCTAGGCTAAGCTAAGCTAAGCTCAGCTAAGCTAAGCTAAGCTAAGCTAAGCTAAGCTAAGCGAAGCTTAGCTAAGCTAAGCTGGGTGAACCCAGGGGGCGCAACTGGGGGAACCAGGGGGGCGCAACTGGGGGAACCGCCCGGGGTGGGTTACACTGCCCGCCCCCTTTAGCAAAGAAAGTAAGAACCCTTCTAGGCAGAGCCTAGGTAGGGAAGTAAGAACCCTTCTAGGCAGAGCCTAGGTAGGGAATTATGCTAACGGAGTTCCACACATAAAAAGATTAACGATTTCGTGGGACCCATTTTCTTGATGCCCTCCTCGCTTTGGCGGGGCCCCGCTGGAAGGGAGGAGGGGCACGAAACCATGTAAATAGTATGGTTTTCGGATACCCTCCTCGCTCAGGCGGGGCCTCCCTGGAGAGGTGGGAGGGGCACGAAACCATGTAAATAGTATGGTTTTCGGATACCCTCCTCGCTCAGGCGGGGCCTCCCTGGAGGGTGGGAGGGGCACGAAACCATGTAAATAGTATGGTTTTCGGATACCCTCCTCGCTCAGGCGGGGCCTCCCTGGAGGTGTGGGAGGGGCACGAAACCATGTAAATAGTATGGTTTTCGGATACCCTCCTCGCTCAGGCGGGGCCTCCCTGGAAGGGTGGGAGGGGCACGAAACCATGTAAATAGTATGGTTTTCGGATACCCTCCTCGCTCAGGCGGGGCCTCCCTGGAGGGGTGGGAGGGGCACGAAACCATGTAAATAGTATGGTTTCCGGATACCCTCCTCGCTCAGGCGGGGCCTCCCTGGAGGGGTGGGAGGGGCACGAAACCATGTAAATAGTATGGTTTCCGGATACCCTCCTCGCTCAGGCGGGGCCTCCCTGGAGGGTGGGAGGGGCACGAAACCATGTAAATAGTAGGATACCCTCCTCGCTCAGGCGGGGCCGCAAACCATGTAAATAGTATGGTTTGCGGATACCCTCCTCGCTCAGGCGGGGCCTCCCTGGAGAGGTGGGAGGGGCACGAAACCATGTAAATAGTA